AAAGCCCCCGCCCGCAGCCCGGTCCAGCTCAGGCCAGGATCAGGTAATTGCTCGCAGGGTGCCAGGGCCAAGGCCGGCTGCAGGCAGGCTCAGCAGGGAGCTCCCATCCTCTCCCTCGCCAGCTCCTCCGGATTTGCACCCATCCTACTGCCAGAGCACCCCGAGAGCTGCCACGGGGCTGGGTGGGATGGGGAGGGGCAGGCGGTGGCTGTGTGGGGAGGGAAGGAGCCGCTGCGCTGTGGAAGGAAGTCAGACATCCCAGGGGCATCCCAGGAAAGGCAAAGAGGGAGTGGAGGAGCCTCTGGCCTACAGTAGCTGAGGAGGGGAAACAGCGCAGAAACCCGAGCCGGGAGCGCTGCCTGCTCCGTGCATTGTTCCCGGAATTTGCCATTGTCTCACTCCCCTCCCAGCACCAGCCTTCCCGGGAAGCAGCTCGGTGCCAGGGCCAGGCTCTTCCCCAGCGCCCCGAGGATGGAGCTCAGCGGAGCTGGAGGGAGCGGGGCCGGCTCCAGGGCACAAGGTGCCAACAAACCAACAAACCAACAAACCGTCAGCTCGCACTCCCGGAGGGTCTGCAGAGCCGCGGGCAGAGGGCTGGGAGCTGCCACGTGCCCGGGGCAGGCAGCGGAGCCTGGGCAGGCTGGGGGTGAGCAGCGGGACCCCCCCGGCTACAGAGAGCTCCAAGCAGGAGCAGGGGGACCCGAGCCCCAGGTTTTGGGCCTGGCAGAAGCACTTCACACGCCCAGGATGAAGGTGCCGTGGCCGGGCAGGGCTCCAGGCAGGCCCAGCACTGCCAGCCATGGGGACAGCAGGGCTGTGACACCCAGCTGGGCTGTGGGGTGCTCCTGCCCGCACCCACAGCTCCTGCCTGCACCCACCTGCACCCACAGCTAGGCCCTGCTGGGGGCTGCCCCCGCCCTGCCCACCCTGCTGTGGCTGCAGAGGGGTTCATCCCCATGTCCCGTTCATTGGCCTCGTGGGCCCCTGCTGCACCCTGTCACCCCACCCCTGTACCCCCACACGCTGTGTCCTCCCTGCTGCACCCTGTTACCCCGACCCAGGTCCCTGCTACACCCAGGGGCTGCCCCCAGCCCCATCCTGACCCCCTGTGCCCCCCAGCCCGCGGTCCCCCCGTACCTCCAGACCTGCCCCAGCTGCAGGAGGTGGATCAGGCCCTGCAGCAGCCCCATCCTGACCCCCTGTGCCCCCCAGCCCGCGGTCCCCCCGTACCTCCAGACCTGCCCCAGCTGCAGGAGGTGGATCAGGCCCTGCAGCAGCCCCATCCTGACCCCCTGTGCCCCCCAGCC